CTAATTTAGACAATTGAGGAACCTAAATAAAGATCTACGATTGAGACAATCGCAGAAAATTCTTGGTATAATAATTTTAAATTGAATGTACCTGCCTAAACCCGAATCTATTTTTGTTTAGATTCGCATCTTTTAAAAATCAAAAATATTATAATAAATTATTATGGTATTTAAATTATACCGAAAACGAATCGAAATACGCAAGATAATATTTAAAAAGACCTCAAACAGAAGGTACCTACTTATTGTCTACGTTTCATATATTGATAATAAGTCAATTAAAAAAATACATACGTTTGACTTTTTCCTCGGGCCATTTCTTCTTATTGCAATTCACAAATCAAGAAATCACAATGAGAACTATAAATAATTCTTCAAAATTCACAAAAACACAAAGCACAATCGTTCGTAAAAAATAAAAGTTCGAAAATTAAAATATGAATTTTGGCGGCAATTTGTCATACGAGCATGTTTCCCGCGAGGTGCGTATCACCACTCTCCGAGATCTCGACTCGGTCCGGACGCGGCAAGCGCCCTACTTCAACGTAACCAGTCTTTCGTGTGAGACAGAGAAGGCCAATTACAGAAACAAACGCGTTAGACAGAGACAAAAAATATTTTTTTATACACCAATAAATACAAATATTTTGTTATGAAACAATACTATTACTGGCGTAATTGTTTAATGCACGTTATTTTGTACTGTTGCATATTTCTTAAGACACCAAAATCGATCTCTAACATACTACTATCGCCACCTAGTAGAGTTACGTTGTACCACTTTGTTGAACGTTTGGCGCCATCTGGCTCACAGTTCACAAAACTATCAATTAATCAATAAAAGATAGTTGATATATATAATAGTACTTTACATAAGATATTAGATACGTAGATGGCAGCATGAGTAGTTTTTGATAAAGTATTAAGTACCGAGTTAATATTAACAAAAATGTATAAGTATGATGAAATATTTTAATAATTAATATTCAGAGTAGAGAGTGAAAAATATTTTTTACTCTGCAAATAATATCCCCATTTCGCAAGATTTCATTTATCATAAGTAATGCTATCGTGAATACACAGCTACCATTAAACAGTACACTTTCATATCGGATGTTGTTCACTTAAACATTGGCTGAAGATTGTTTCATACAATAACAACTCTCATTTATACGTTACGATTGAGATCAGTTGTCATACTGATGTTTTGGACATGACGATCGTATTGATAATTGATACTTTAGTTCACTTCACCCAACCTGATCTGAAAATGTACTTTAATAGTGCCACGGTTTTAGTTTAAATTATACATTACTAGCGACCCGCCCCGGCTTCGCATGGGTGCAATATGTATATACAAACCTTCCTTAAGAATCACTCTCTCTATTAAAAAAAACCGCATCAAAATCCGTTGCGTAGTTTTAAAGATCTAAGCATACATATGGACATACAGCGAAAGCGACTTTGTTTTATACTATGTATTGATATCTAAGTAACTATATGATGTGAAATGATGATTTTTTAAGCAGGGAAAATCATCGAATGACTGCTCCCGCCTGGGTGAGGCGGGAGGTTACAGGTTACCGGGGCTCCGGCTCGATGTACAGGAATAGGAACAGGGTGGTTTATAGTCAGTAAGAGTCTGACACTCCCTCTCCCCTCACCCGGGTGATCCCCGGTCAGTGGATGATTTTCTCCGCTCAAAAAAGAAGTGTCTTATATTAATTCAAGCAAAATTCTTTTTAACTCACTCAATTCATGACCCAACAACTTAAAGGTCCCACGGGGCCAAGGCGTATAACAATAATGTACCTACTAACACAACTTGATCCTTGGCTCGGGTCTAAAACCCCAATAATCTTATAATACACCTTTAGTCCCTTTCTCAGAACGTAAAGAGTGCTTTACCAAAGGGATTGGTGTTCAAGGAAAATCAATATCCGGTTATATTGAAGCCCTTTACTTATTCACCGTTTCTCAGTACCTATTTTTGTACTGGTAAAATGTTGCTGAAATATACATACATAACTTCACGCCTGTCTCCCATGTGGGTAGGTAGAGACTAGGGAACGCCAATTACTACGATTCCTACATACCTCTTTTGCTTCAGTCATCAATCTTTTCATGCATGCTCGTCGGTTAAGGGTAATTTTAATTTGGCCCTTCTTTAATATATCGCCAATCTGGTCACTATGAAACAACGTTAGAAAATACCGCAAACACTCAACACTTGATACTCAACACTCAATTAATACTTAGCTCTTAATACTCAGTATTTAGAACTCAATACTCATTTTTTTATCAAAGACTAGTTTCTGCAAGCGGCTTCGCCTTCGTTGCCGTGGGGTATATAAAGTAACCTTAGTGATATTTCAGACCATCTTCTATCCCTGTTCCAAGTCGCGGAGAACCTAACGGGTTACCAGGGCTCCGGCTCGACGTGCAGGAGAAGGAACGGGGTGGTTTTTAGTCAGTAAGAGTCTGACACTCCCTTCCGCCTCACTCAGGCGGCAGCAATCATACGATGATTTTCCCCCCTTAAAAAAACCCCTGTTCCAAATTTCATCTCGACTCCTTCAGTTGTTTTGACGTCAAAGAGTAAAAATCACACACACACATACATCCTTACAAACTTTCGTAGTAAAAGTAGTATTTATTCGATCAGTGTTTGAATCAAAAAGAATTTAAAAATTACAAATTAATTTACTTTTCTCTTTCTTTACAATGACATTGTAAGGAGGATGGTTGACACTTCAGGTGATCGAAGGGCTGACTACTACCTTGGGCAAAGGCGCCTTGCCATTCAACATGCTGCCAGTCTTTTGGGCACCCTACCTCACGGTAGCGATGAGGAAAAATTTTTCTTTAATGCCTTATGATATTTTTTTTTTAAGTGTAAATATTTTATTTTTAAATTAGGTATTTATATTTTGAGTTGTATATATTTATTTCATTTAACTCGTTGAGTACCGTCATTATAGACACAATTATAGAACAATAGGTTGCGGTCACCGGTGACCGCTTGGTGTTTGACAGTTTAAATTCTAATCAATAAAACGTTCATATCAAAAAGTATATGTATATCTACAGGATTACTTTCTTTACATTTGTTTATATTATAACTTAAAGATGAAAGCTATTATGCGGAAAAATATGATGATACTCTTCGGCTTTAAAAGCGAAGTGCCTTTCTTTGAAATGCTAGCATTAATTAAGTAATGGTTATTACTTTTGTGAAAAGAAAAGTTATTTACTTGTATACAGTTATAAATTGAAATACCTTATGATAACTATCTATACGCCTATAATTCTCTATAGAAATAAGTAGATATGTCTTTGAACACTTTTTACCCCGCTTCACAAAGGTAAAGAGTATCATCTGTCATGTTTGAACTAGTGGTGACACCAAATTACAGAACACAAAATTAAATAATGAGAGACATCTTAACACAGTTCCACTTAAATCTTTAGGAACCAATTGTAATAGGATAGATGACTTATTTGTATTTTAATTTCCGTCGGGAAGATTACTTAAAGACATTAGACACGTATTTTTTCTACCCCTTCGGGGATAAAAGGCGTGATGTTATGTTATGGTAAACGGCGAATTTCAATTACAATTGGGTACTTTCCTTAGCCAAAAATAAATTATTTTGACTGTTCAATACAATGAAATATATAATAATCACACTTTCATTAATTGATTTTATGATCAACTTAACATTAGTATTTTTCCTGCAAATTTTAAGAAATAAGTATACATAACCCAATTTAATTGGGTATCTACTTGCCAACTTGTCGAATTCAATACTTTTTCGAACTGTCAAAAATGACATTTTTCTTTATTCGGGATTGTGTATTGTGAACAAATCAATCAGAGCGCCGAACGAGGTTTCGTTTTAATAACTTTAAACGTAAAACAAACTTGGACTAAGGTCTCTGTCAAATGTGTAGACTGTTGATAAAACACTCTCCGGAAGTAACCACATGGCGTAAAAATACATTAGCTGATATTTTTTTCTACGTACTTCCGCGGTTCACACGTTCTGCTCGGCACCTATTGATCGTAGCGTGACGTTTCATAGCTTATAGCCTTCTTCAATAAATGGACTATCCAACACAAAAAAGAATTTTTGAAATCAGACCAGTTGTTTCTGAGAATAGCGCGTTCAAACAAACAGACTCTTCAACTTTATATAAAAATACTAGCTGACCCGGCAAACTTCGTACCGCCTGAAAGTTTTTTCTCACCTTTTAAACCTTCCCTAGACTTCCACGAATCTATCATGACCAAAATTAGCTAAATCAGTTCAGACTAACGAACAGAAATTCATTTTTATTTATATAGATAGATGTAAAAGGTATAAGTTTTTAACTATTCCCTTTTCTACCAAGTCACTTCAGCAGTTTTCACTCGACGGCTATAGATATCGATGTTGGTCGATCGTAACATGTATCTATAGTCGATTGGTTGTAAAGTTACGCTTCTTCGTCCATAAAATATTTCTCAAATGTAATAAAAATGTTATAAAACATCTTGTATGAGTAACACCCGCCATTAATGTGATATCTTACACAGACACTTCTGCGCGAAGCATTAAAATTACAGTCAAGTTTTTTAGAGACATAATTAACATATGGGTCCATAGAATGACTGGATAAAAGAATAGAATCTGAAAGGATTAAAATTTATTTACTTTATCTATTTGACTATATGAACAACTTTAGGTAGGTATAATAAATTACCATTATCTACATGCCACAATAATTAATTGTAGCTTATATTTGCAATTGAGTTAGTATGCAGTTACTTATCTAGTTTATTTTTCCCGGTATATACCTCTGTTTGTTAAGCTGTAGTTTAATAGTTCGTTGCTAGAACCAGGAAAACTCTAGTCTTATCTATCTACTGTTGTAATTTAATCCTCTTTGAAATCTTTGAACTTTGAATATTTTATAATGCAAGACTTACGTCTAGTAATGAAAATAAAAATACTCACACTTTAATTTTCTTCCCCTCTGCCTGCGATATGGTGGCGGGCGGCGGTGGCAGGTCGTCCATGGGCACTTCCTCGTTAGGCGGCGACGGCGGAGACTTGTCGAACTCAGCTATAGGCGCTAGTTCCGGCATGGGTGACACCGAGTTACTGTCCATAGCCGATAACTTTATGGGAGACACTTTGGCTATTTTGATAACCTTTTCACACCTCCGGGGATCCGGAGGAGAAGTTCACACAAAAGTCCTCAAACGCCCGCAGCAGCGAACTAGAAGCACACACGAATAGCACGGATTTCACGGTGAAGTTCAAAGTTCCGTATTTAATTAAGAGCCGCGGCACTTGTATGTGTTATTGGCCTACAGTCCACGCACGATACAGCGCACAACTTTCCCGATAGAATGCCAGCAACTTTCGGGATTGGCTCCGGACGAACTTCGGGACCTGGAAGCGATTAAAGAGTTATTTATTGTTGTACTTTCGTGTTCCACGCGAGAGTGGGACTAAGTGATGATGTATTTATTGTACGGACGTCGTTGACCGGAAAGTTGAGCGTAGAAATATTATTACGGTGTTGTATTGTTTAGTGTAACAGTTACCTGAGGGTAACATTTTAAATGACGTTAGGTGGGGAAGGAAGGTAGGAAGCGCGCGTCCGCGTCTCGCGGCCTACTAGCTATTATTCAACACTCGCTTGACGTGACGCGTCGGAAGGGACGGATCCCCTCGAATATGACGTCCCTGTTGTTTATAGTACCACCGGCTCGTTGACCACTACACGAAGGAAACAGAAATAGCTTCACACTATTATCGTACTTTATGCTTCCACTTCTCGCGAGATGGCCCATAATATTGTTTTAAGGTGTAAGGCTGAAAGATAATTTCGAAAATAAACGATGATTAGCGGTTTCCTCGTTACTCTCTAAAAACATTTTCTTGTTATATTTATTTCAGAAAACTGGCCAATTTTCGCCAATTATCATAAATTCTATTTTATGTCCCTACGTAGGTGGTTTCTACACACGCTCCTGAGAAGTATGTTTTGTTCTAACTGATATATTTACGTATTTGTACGTAATTGTACAGGTAGTGAACAATTAAATAAATTTTATTTATGCACGTCTACATTTGTTAACGCTGCATTAAGTAATTAAATAAACAACTGAATTCGTTCTAATACTTATCTTTATTTCCTAATGTTATTTCTAAAAATACAAAACAAAAGACTACATGAACTCCTTATACATCACGAGCAATAAGCTAGTTTCTAAGTAGCACGTAATCATTGGTATCGGTGATGTTGTTCGTGGATGCATTTACGAATAGCAAACTTTTTTACTAATTAATTACTAAAGTGTACTAACATAGATATAAGTTATTTCTACTAATAACCTATGGATGCTTCTGGTCCGAAATAAAGAGTATTTTATTTTATTTTATTTATTATTAAACGCCATTGGGAGCAGCAATGACCAGCGTTAGTGCAGAATATGTCTGCAACAGTTTTCTGTTGGCTGTCAGATACTTAAATATGTGCACTCCTTAGTAAAGGAGAATAGCAGATTAAAATATAGAAAAAAAAATATTATTCTGTCGATTTAAAGTAAAAGTAGTGGAATTCCACTCTTACGCACGAGTATGGCGTACGACTACTCACAATAGCATTCATCTACGATTGTGTCGGCTGTCTAATCACCATGACTATTGTGTAAGTAATTGTTAGTCCACAGTACTATGTAAACACTACGTAACCTAGGCTAGGTTGATTGTCCATCTAGACTTAGACTAGACTTTCACAATCATTGTGTGAATATTGAATCATTTGCATTTATTGACAAGTTTAAAGTCAAAGTCAAAAACAGTCAATTAAAACATTGAAGTTTGAATGTTTACAAAATATTTTAAAGTGAATGTATTTGCTCATTCCCAGATGTAGATTCCTATGGAGATGAACGAGCAAGAAACACCATACCTTTTTAACCAGATTCACAGTAAATTCTTTAGTTACTGATGTTTGGATTATAAACAGGTTTCTAATAATATTTATAATAATTATTTATACCTAATGTTTATACATTAGTCTTTTGTATAACTTGGTTGGGCTACTGTCAGTATTGCAGATTTTTGAATAGTTAATGTCTCTTTATAGTATAAGTTTATTTACATTACTTACTTGAAAATAAGAAATGTAACATCTTTTGAAAAATACTAAGTATATTTAGCTTGTAATAGTGATATTAAGACTTTGACTGCAAATAAAAAACTGTTGAAGGTAGATCCTCCGCTAACGCCGGTCACCGGTGACCCCCATGGCGTTTAATGTGTTAAAGCTAAAAGATGATTAATTGTAACTTTTTTTATTGAAGTGTCGTTTCTTTTTCAACTCCGTCGTCAACAAAAGAAGGTTCAAAATAACAATTAAGAAGACGTTTACATGTACCTACCTTTTTGTCAATGGCGAATTTGGGTTAATAACTTGCTTACATGGCAAAAAGACGTGATCTGATTATATAACAATTTTAGAACACACTCTGAACACAGCTGAAGATGTAATTAAACTGTCAAACACCAAGCGGTCACCGGTGACCGCAACCTATTGTTCTATAATTGTGTCTATAATGACGGTACTCGACGAGTTAAGTAGATATGCTTATCAAAAACTCACCAAAAATTACTAAGTATTTAAAAATCTATGCTTATATTAAAACTATCGTGAGTCATACTAAATGAATTATTATGTTTCATGAATATGAGCCTCTAGCATGGCTTGAAACTAGTTGAGTTGCTCGTCAAACAATTACGTGAGTAAGCCAAAACATAATTGTACACAAAGTATTACTGGGTTTTTAAAATTCTCAGTGGTAGCACTGAGTCTGGAATTGTGTCCGGTATATGGCAATAGGCTCACCCCCTATTACATCGGACTCATACCATTAATAGTGAAAAGTGGGTGTTACATTGTATAGTGGCATTAAGTGCCGTAATGTGCACCTCTGCCTACCCCTTCGCCGATAATAGGCGTGATGTTATGTTAAGTTATTTATTGCGCACGATTGGTGCGCTGGCTGGGCAACCGGCTGCCGTGCAACGTATCTCGGGTTCGATTCCCGCACGGAACAACAATTTGTGTGATCCACAAATTGTTGTTTCGGGTCTGGGTGTTATTGTGTACGTGAACTTGTATATTTGTAAACGCACCCACGACACAGGAGAAAATCCTAATAAGGGATTGCCCCTTATATATATAATCACCAAGTACCTAACAAAATTTTTAGACAAGAGACAGTATCTAATTAAACTATTTAAATGTAGTCCTATTCTATATTCATTATTCATTTGTACTGCCTGTAACCAAATTTTATATGACCTAGTATTAGTACAATACAATGACCTACTTAAACAGTTTTGACTATTTTTCTTTTTAAATCAGTACTATGTTCGAAAAACTTCCCTCTCTTTGAAGACTCCATCTATAATTTAAAGAAAGTATATGCGATTCGGCCTAATGATGTTCATGTATTAACTCGTCGAGTACCGGTTTTGTAGACACAATTATAGAACAATAGGTTGCGGTCACCGGTGACCGCTTGGTGTTTGACAGTTTAATAATGTATGAGACATATACATATATATATATATAATGGTTTATGAAAAAAATATTTGTTTGTATTTTGTAGGTAGGTCTTTCTTTCACACTGCAACGTGATAATATTTACCATTTAATATATAATAGGGTAGATATCTAATTTTTATTTTAATGCCCGTCTGGTAGTATATTTTAAATCATTAGACACGTATTTTTGGTTTTCTTACAGAAACGAATACTTTCGCCGATATATTGATTTGAAATTTCGCGTGACGTCACTTCTATGTACATTTTATACATAGAAATGACGTTTTAGCCCCCACTCCTAAATTTTGATTCGTTTTATCTAAGTATTGTTTTATTATACGACAAAATAAAAAAATACGTGTCTAATATTTTTGCATTACCTAACTGATGGACTAATTGGGTTTTTAATTTTCATACCCTCGCATCATCCCAATTTCCTTTACACATCTAATTCGTATATCTAATGTGTTGTGACATGTGAGGCTGAAGAGATAAAAGCTATTTTAAGTGAAGACACGATTAAAATTGACACAGTATTCTAAACTTAACCAAATCTGTCCAAAGTACTTCAAGAACTACACTTTATTAAAAAAAAATACAGCTTCCTTCTCACCGGAATTATGAGAGAGCGTAAAACCGCATTTTTGCACAGGACCATACCGGCACCCTAAAGCCAATCGATATTGAATTCTCTCCCCCTACACATAAAGTCATGTTTACCTCGCAATTTAGTGTCAGAAATCGCACATTACTTCTTATATACAGAGGGTTGTTTGTAAGTGCTAAGAACCCAATTCGTACGAGTTTGGATACACTCGTACATTCATGTAGTCGTACTAGAGAGCCAACAAATTGGAGCGGATAAGAAACTATTGGGAATTATTTGCGTGCATTATTGAGGAGTTGTTCGGATCTTGTAGATTGTGTTTTGTTTAGTATATATTTATATACGTATTATTTTGACGATGATAAGACTAGCTGTACCGGTAAATTCGTCAGCGTTTTTCTAAAATTAAAGTAGCTTCTATTTTACTTCTTAGTACATCAACCATCTACCAATAAAAGTCAAAATCGGTCCAGCCATTTCAGAGATTAGCCAGCACAAACAGACAAAAGTTGTATAAAGTGTTACTTTGTTATATATATCGTGTGTATATTCAGATGCGTGTAGTAAAAAGCTGTTATTTCAATATTACAAACAGACACTTCAATATTATTTCCCTGTATTGTTACAGATTCGTTTATTTGAAACTGAATTAAAGTGTTTACACAGTTAGTGTATAATATAGTTATTTAGTAAATAATTGCTTGGTGAACATGCTTCTTAAATTAAACTTCGCGATATAACTAACCCTTCTAACGATACTCATAACCGAATAGATACACTATATCCAAGAATACATAAAACACACTACATCACACACAACATTTTTTTTAACCCAACATATCCAATTTAAATACCATTTTCGCAACAAGATATTTCACGGTAGCCTGCTATGAAATACTTGAGCAATTCCTATCTCCGGCACGGGAGAGCTCTAGACAAGAATTGCTTAGACGTTTACTGGCATTTCATGAGTACATACGTACCTAGAGGTACTTATGCATACGCACGTACTATGTACCAAAGCATGTAAGTGCTCCTTGACATTAATTCTAAGGCGTAGTTCACATTGAGTCAGACAAATACATATAGGTATTTTCGTATTTATAGGTCGTGGTTACGGCAAAACAGAATGACTAATTACTTTTACTTTTATTTTTATTTATTTACACTTAGTGCAAGAAAAAATAGTTCATAGGAGGGACTTAATGCCTTGGGCATTGTCTA